GTCGTACGAAACGTCAACACTCATTCAATTACATATAGTGCACCGACACGGCGACCCCACGCCGTACCCTAACGATCCGTACACTAACTTCACTTACCCGGATGGTTTTGGCCGCATAACCACCAAGGGCAAATCGCGCATGTACTCCGCGGGCCAACAGTTCAGGCAACGGTACGGTCAATGGCTGGGCCCCGACGTGCCCACTGTTACATACCTACGGTCGGTGGCCTCGTATACATGTCTGGTGAGTACTGAAGCTCTGGCGGCCGGTCTGTATCCGCCGGACGGACGGTGGGTGTGGAACCGGGGACTAGAGTTGGCCCACTTGTGGCAACCGATGCCCATAGTGACGGTGCCCGAAACTATCGACGCCCTCTTGTCGTACTACGACGTGTGCCCGACCGCAGACGCGGCGGCCACTGAAAATAGCAATGGCCCCAAAGCCGTGGCTTTTATGGCCAAATATCAGCCGTTTGTCGCCCAATTCAACCGGTTATCCGGCAATAAATTTAGCACGTTGGTCGAATTTTACAACCTCTACCTCATATTGTACGACCAGGTCAATTATGTGCCACCAATACCGGCGCCCCAATGGCTACAAACTATGGGCGTGAATCGAACCATGGCCATATTGACGAAAATGTTCCAGTACCATCTTACATTATATAGCCAACCTGCCGTGGTGCAGAAACTACGCGGTGGTATTCTGCTAAGCAATATAATTGCCAATATGAACAATCTGTCCGCAAACTCGCAAGATAATGTTAATATTAAATTGTACGAGTATTGCACATTTATGGCGACATTGTTGCCCATGTTCATTGCCATCGGTGGTCAGCCAGTATTTCTCAACTACGGTTCGGCCGTAATATTTGAGTTACATCTTATAGATGGCCAGCAAATTGTCAAGGTGTTTCTCGCAAAAACTACCCAATATTCATTTGAGTATCAGATCAATGAGATACACTTGGCAAAATGTAGCAAACTAGGTAAAAACAACCAGTGCACTCTTGTTAATTTTGGCAATAGTTTAAAGCCTGTTATACCGACCAATTGGGGCGTAGAGTGCGGTTTAAATCAAACGGTCACCGTTTACCCTTAATGTAGTTTGCTGATTAAAAATGACATAATATTAAAATAAAAATAGTTTGAAAGATATTAATTTTAATAAATGTTTAAATTATTTGTAATTTATAATTTATAATATCTTATATTGTAATCCTTTAACAAACTTCTTATATTTGTGTAAATAATACATAAATAATGACCGTGATGTAGAATGAAATTTTTTAATTGCATTCACAATTCAATTAAAAATGTAAAATTGCCTAAATGTATCATGGATAAATAATGACTGTTTGATTTAGGCCGCACTCGACTCCCCAATTGACTGGTATAACCGAGCTCAAACTACTGGCAAACGCGGCCAGCGTGCACTGGTATAGATCGTGCTTGCCGCATTTTGGCAAAGGTACCCGGTACATTTGATATCGAAACGACACGTCGTCATTATTAGCAAAAAACACGCGCACCACATACTGGGCGTCGATGTAGTGCAGCTCAAATATAACGGCCGACGCGTACCCGAGAAACACTGACTGATTGTCGTGTGTGGTTGGCTCGAACGTACAGTATTCGTACACTTTAATATCTGGGTAGTTTGCATTAACATTGGCCGATAGATTGTTCATTTGGAATATGATTTCAGCTAGTAGCGGACCACCTCGTAGCCGTTGCACCACCACTGGTTGGCTATATAAATAAATATGCTGTTGGAATATTTGCATTAATGCGTCCATGGTGCGTTTGACGCCCATGGTAATCAGCCATTGCGGGGCCGGTTTAGGCGGATCGTAATGGAGCTCTTCGTATAGAGTGAGGTATAGATCGCTTAAGTCCAACATGGTCGTAAAATTGTCGCCCGTAAGCTTATTGATCTGGGCAATAAGCGGTTGATATTTAGCTAGGTAACTGGCGGCCAGTGGTCCGTTTGTCACGGCGGTGGCCGCCGCGTCCGACGCGGGACATACATCAAGATAGGATAGGAGTGCGTCAATGCTATCGGGCACCGTCTCGACGGCCATCGGTTGCCACAGGCGGGCCAACTCGAGCGCACGGCTCCACACCCAACGCCCGACAGGCGGAAACATGCCGGCCGATAGCGGGGGCGCGCTCTCCAGGCAACTCTTGCTGTCTACCGAGCGTAGAGCCATGCGCTCCGGCGACTCTCCCAGCCATTGGCCGTATCGGTCCCGTAACTGACGGCCCGCTTCGTACATACGGCGCTTGCCTTTCGGTGTGATACGTGACAAGCCGTCCGGCCATATGATGTTGGCGTAGGGATCACCAGGGTAGAATGAGTACGGCGTACGATCGCCGTGCCGGTGCACTATCGTTATTTGAATCAGTGTCGACGTGTCGTACGGCCCGTGCGAGTCCGCCGACGGCCACCGATGGCCCCCCGGTTGCCAGCCGTCCGACCAATGAATGAAAAAGTGAAAAAATACAAAATATTTTTTTTTATTGAATTCATTTGTACACTCAAGTGTCAGCAATTGTAAATGGAATTAACATAATAATATTAAAAACAATTTGTATTTATACTGACTGTAATTTGCTGTGTCCATCAAATAGGGCATCGACCTATTTGCGGTTAAATACAAACTACTAGAAAAACATGTTTAAGGTTAGTAAACTTCTCGAATTACTTTAACTCATAAATAATTTTTCTGTGCCATTGGCACCGGCAAATAGAGATTCAGATTCACTATGATTCAAATATGATTGGGAAATTTAAAAATTCAACCTAGCTCATTTGTCGGCCTTGTAATTTACCAAACCGGACAGTTTTCCTGTATATAAGGGATTGTCAGTATACATTATTGTCTACACATACAATAATAAATTTTACTAAATTTTCAAAACTCATTTAAATTTTATCTAAGTCTATGATTGTTAGTGTCACATAGTGTCATAAGACACTTTACGTTACGTAACATGATGCTTATGCCTCTTTCCCTATCCAACTAGAATTTAACATGGGTTTATAGCTTTACTCTACATGTATGGCTATACTTTGACATTGGTCTCTGCTTGCAATCCCAATCCTATATGTAGGGTGTCAATTTTTCGGTAGCACAAACACAGAGAATTAGCATAGTGAAATTCGAGAATTTCGTTTTTAATACAGTCTAACACAATATTTACACAATAAATTTATTTTTAAATGGCTTATATGCACTATGTGCACAATAATGACATTTATTAAGGTAATAATAATTAATAAGCAACTAAAATTTAAATTTATAGTTTCTTATGCTTTATATTATCAATTAATTTCATATCTATAAGCATTGTTTTTCTCTATTCACTGTAGTATACCATAAATTTTTAACTGATTATGTATAGTTTGCAGCAGGTTTTGCTATTCATTTAACAAATTGATCAAGAATTTGATTGAAAATCTATATATATTTTTAAAAAGTGCATTTTTGGGAGTTTTACTAAAAATAAGACAAAATTAAGGTAAATATAGAATCGTAGAATCGCTTTACAATCCTTGTTTGGTTTTAATATAATTTTTTATTTTTACATTGAATATAAATTCAACATTTTGGTGTATGTTATATTTGAGTCAAACTGTTTTAAAACATTTATTAAAAACGCCTCATAATTTTCGCTATGCACTTAACCTAGTGATCAACTACTTGGCTGACTTTTCATAAATGACATCTAAAACTCTTCTTAAAAATCAGTCTTAAGAGTCACACTTAAAAAACTCTAGGAATGCCTCAACCAAACCTTTGAGCAATTTTTAGATTAAACAAAACTTCATTTGCATATCTAGTGTCCGAGTAATTAATTGTTGAACAGAGGTCACTTTAGAAATCCTGCCAGTATGTCAAACGATTAACTTTTTCAATCCTTAACAAATCAGTGCATTTTTAGTTCTAACGGAGTGGCGCTTCAATCTACACACTATTTGTTCATCTTCACTGCAGTGGCTATTCAGTGGTGTTTACTCTGCAATTGAGTGGCGATGTATAACACTGTGTTTATATCATTACTTTGGGATCAATACAGACGTATGTGTGCATAGTGTGTGCAGTGGTATAATGATGTTCGCATTAGGCATTCATGGCTGGATTCTCTGCCAACATTGGCGCTCAATTTATGTAGAGTTCAATCATAGCCTCATATGCAGTGACGCGCGCACACTGAAGGTACAGATATAAAGTACTATACATTTAAGGCATTGTGGCTGAGTTTTTAGCCAACATTTTGTGTTCAATGCAAACGCATGTATAGTGTACTCAAGCAATGTACAGGATTATATGTACAATGCAATCAAATGCTAAACAATAGATGTTAGGTTTGGCTCTCAATGCATTGATAGTGAGTTCTCATTATTAGTTGTTTGTGGGCTAAATGGCAGCCATTTATAAACAAATGCACAACAAACCAAATATGAATTAAAATGTTGTTATTTTTCAACTACAAATAACTCAAAACACTGTCAAATCCGATATCCTTAATAAATTAAGGATATCGGATTTGAATTATATGAAAAATTTATTGAGTCACTAATATTGTTTACATTATTGTCTAACATTTAATTCAAGTGATAATAATGAGTCGTAAAAACATATTAACTCGACAACAACTCGAGGATCTGCTAAATGATGAAAGTGTTGAAGACATTGCTAGTGATGAAGAGTTTGGAAAAATAGAAGTCTGAGATCATTTAAAAGATACTGAACAAAGCATTGAAAACATTAGTGATGGCAGTGATGGTGATTTATATACTTCAAATATGAGCAAATCGCAAGCAACAAAACTAAATTAAATTAATACAATCATTATATAAATTGGGATATATTTAATTAATTAAGGATATATAATTTATTAAATTTTGTGTTTTAAAAATGCCATTTCATTTTATTAAATAAATATTTCTATTTTATTCATAAATGCTAATCAAACACTTAATTTAAAAATAAATGTTTGTTAAAATAATAATTAATAATTGTTTTTAATTAAAAACTTCATTAACTGTATTACACATTATCGCTCAATTAGCACTGTTTCAATACACCATACATGCGTTTGCATTGAACACAAAATGTTGGCTAAAAAGTCTGCCACTATGCCTTAAATGTATAACACATTATATCTATATCTACAGTGTGCGCGCGTCACTGCATATAAGGCTATGATTGAACTCCACATAAATTGAGCGCCAAAGTTGGCAGAGAATCCAGCCATGAAGGCCTAACGCGTATAACTATATACCACTGCACACACTATGCACACATACCTCTGTATTGAACTCTATGCTCTCTATTTAACTGCCATCTACACCCCCTGTAAATCAGGCATAACTGCATTTATTTGTGCTGGCAGGATTTTCAGCCAAGAATGTTATAGTAAGGAGGGGAATAAGTGTGTAATCGCTAGGTTAAGGGTTTAGTAATAAATATATCTACTTTTTAATACCATATAGCTTTTGATAATTAATTAAATATTTTTAAGGTTATAAATCTATTGACATTATATAACAATAAAATATTGTTTGTGAAATAAAATCAAATTTATTTGAATTAGTGTCATATTTCCAATAAATACAATAAACGACAAATGATAAGCATTTCGACACTTGCTTATCAACTATTGTCGGTCGCATGGATTACATCTAAAATACAGCTCATTCACGACAACACGTGTTCCCGAACTCAATGGCAAAGCAGTTATGACTTCATTGTTGTCGGCGCCGGAACTGCCGGTGCGGTTGTGGCCAANACACGTGTTCCCGAACTCAATGGCAAAGCAGTTATGACTTCATTGTTGTCGGCGCCGGAACTGCCGGTGCGGTTGTGGCCAACAAACTCAGTGCCGGTCACACCGTAAGGGTGTTGCTGTTGGAGGCGGGAGGGCCTCAGGACGCCATATATAACGATATACCAGGAATGGGATCACTTGGAAATTCTCTTAAAGTTAATGAATGGATATATTATAATGAACCCAAAAATAATTTTGGTAATAAGTACGCCGGGGGTCGAGTGCCCGACAATAAGGGTAAAACACTTGGCGGATGTTCAGCGCATAACGGTATGGATTTCAATCGGGGTAATCGTCGCGGTTATGACGAGTGGGCCAATACGTACGGCGCCGTCGGTTGGAGTTATAGGGATGTGTTGCCGGTGTTCAGGGAGTGGGAGAACAATACGGATCCCGTAATTGTTACCAATAATCCCGAATATCACGGAACTCGTGGTCCAATTCAAATATCTTCGCCTAAAGTATACAATCCATTACTTCTCTATATTAGAGATGCATTAAATGGGTTGGGATTTATGAATACAGATATCAATGGTCCGAAACAATTGGGATTAATGTTAATGCAATCATTTATTACCTCAAGTCGTTTCAGATCGGATACGGGTAATGCATTTGTTGACCCGAACCCATATCCAGATAACCTGCATATAGTGTGCAAAGCATTGGTCTCTAAAATACTGTTCAATGGGTTGACAGCCATTGGCGTCGAGTTTATAGTGAATGACATCTCGTATACGGTTTACGCCAACAGAGAAGTCATTGTTTCCGGCGGTAAATATTAAGAAAAATATTTTACTCATAATGACTTTTCTAACATTATAAATACTGTTTGCTAGGTGCTTTTAATACCCCACAGTTATTAATGCTATCAGGTTTGGGCCCAAAACATCATTTACAGAGCCTAAAAATACCGGTGAAACTCGATCTACCAATTGGTAATAACTATGTAAATCATCCTAATATTTATGTAGATGCCCAAATAAAACCAGAATATTCATATCTAATCAACGAAGTAGCCCAACTGAATGCAAAACAACTCGGTGAATTATACTACCAACACCGAGGACAGTTAGCTCAAACTATAAATTCAATACTATACTATAGCACACATTTAAACCGAGACAAACAGTGGCCAAACGTGCAGTTATTTTTTACCGCATATAACACTACTGTACACACGAGTGTAAATTTATTAAAGACTAAAAGTCTCGGCACAATAAGGTTACAGTCAACTGACCCACGGCTGCCCCCACTCATTGACCCCAATTGGTTGTCAGACCCGGAGGACCAGGTTAATATATTGGATGCCGTGAAAATGCAATTTTATTTGCTCGAGGTCACAGATATGGCTAAATATATACAGCCGTTGCCATCGTTTGCCGATATCGGGTGTCCGGTATGTCCGGGAAAATACATGTATGAGTGCTCTGAAGGACTGAAGTGCTATATTAGCCTCAATTCATTGTCGTCTTATCATCCGGCGGGCAGTTGTCGTATGGGCCAATACGTACGGCGCCGTCGGTTGGAGTTATAGGGATGTGTTGCCGGTGTTCAGGGAGTGGGAGAACAATACGGATCCATATATTGTGAACAGTAAT